AAAGAGAGTCACTTTGGTATAGTGCAATACTTGAAGAGGGAATCATTAGGGAGTAGATGTAGGTCTAGTTGGACCGAACCACTATAAATTTCTATTTTATTTTTCAGTCTTTACTTTTTTACTACATTTTTAATTTTACGCAAGTTTAAATTTTATGGTTGAAAAATATTTTTGGAAAAAATTATCATTATTATTAAAAACTAAAATTTAAATTTTATGGATACCAAGATATTTTTAAATAACCAATTTACCACCACCCCCCCCCCCCCCCCACACATTTACCCCCCCCCCCCCCCCCCCACAACCTATTTGACTTTCAAATTTAACAAAAATAAAAATAATGATAATAAAATTCTAACTAACACAACATAATATAATCTAAGATTTTCACCAAGTAGTTATCATAGAAATTAAGTGTGAAAAGTAAAATACTAAAAAAAAAAACAAAATAGAAATTTTATAGTAGTTCAATAAACCTTGACCTATGTTGGCTTGTTGGAGTCCTCTGCTCTAGGAATTGCGTTAATAAAAAGTAACTCTCTTTTTGCTCCCATTGTAAGGCATAAAAGCCTTTACATACTCAATTTCACCAAACCTAATGCGGTAGAGTGCTAGAAGTTATGTCACCTCCCTTGTGGTGATAACAACGAATCTTGAATCCTTTTTCTCCCTCTTAGAGAAGGTAGAGAATCCCGAATCCTTTATCTCCCTCATAGAGAAGGCAAAGAACCAGAATCCTTTCACAGACAGAGAACCTCATTTCATTTTTCTCTCTCTTTAAGAAAGCAAAGTACCTCGAGGACTTCACTTAGAAGCCACTCTCCTATGAGAGCCTTCAAGAACTCACCAAGGCCATAGAAGGAGTAAGGGTGTAGCTAGCTTGGAGAAATCTTATGATCCCCTCACACTCCTACTCTCTCATGCTCAATCTCACCTTCTCCTTCCTCTCAAACACTGGATCTCTCTCAAAAGCTTCTTTCTTAGAGTACCTTTAGCAGTCACACAATCCTCTCTTATTATAAGAGATTCCTAAAAACATTACTTAAGTATTGGGCTTCAAGAAACCTTACAAATTCAAGTTGGTCGTCACGTTCGTACAGAACGATTACAATTCATACAATATGATCAATTCAAAACTACACCAATCCAGTACGATGTAAATAGTTCTTCAGACAAATTGTTTAACTTTTTGAACACATTATATAGTATGATCCAAAGATCATTCAAGACGATCTATTTGCTTTATCTCTATTTATATAGGATGATTCCTTGGACGATTGGAAATTATCTCTATTAATCATCCCGTACAGTTATCATATAGTATGATTAGTTGATTTAAAGTCCGTCGTCTAGTATGATATAAATATCGTATAGTATGATTAATTCAAAAAGCATGGTTTCATTTAGTACGATCTTTGGGAATATCAAATTTCATCTATATCAATCATATTTTCTAGCTCTACAAAGGTTAGATTTGAGAAACCAAGTGAGTTTAAGTTTGACCTTATGCTTGAATGAATATGATAAATATATGATATGATGTGATGAATACATTTTTGGCCTCCACACTAGATATATCATACGGTGGATTATATAGGTGCGGGCTATGTGACCTACCATTCCACAAAAGTAACATCCAACACGAGAAAATGGATTTACAAACCTATGTGGGTCATGGTCCCTCTTCCTAGGTTTATTTGATGCATGCTATGTTGTGCATGGGCTTATAAAATTGTTCTAAGGTAGGTTTGGTAGTTTATTATTCTCAAGTGCAGTTAATTTAGCTTCAAAAAATTTATTTGCACTTTCAAGAATGGACATTTTAATTTTCAATGCATGCTCCCTGCCATCTATTTCTAATTTAGATGCTTCTAATACTTTGTATGCTTTCTCTAAATCAATACGTGATGTTTTAAAACTTCATAAGCAGGAAATCTATTATTCTTATAAATTTTTAAGACTTTGAAATAGACAGTTTGATCACCCAAAGCAGAAGCTAACAATTTAACAATAATTAAAATAATGATGATGAAATTATAATTAACACAGTAGAATATTAATCTCATATTTTCACCAAATAGTTATCACAAAAATAAAGTGCGAGAAGTAAATGCTAAAAATGAAAAAGCACACCAAAATTTTTATACTTGTTCGGTCAAACATGACCTACGTCTAATCCCCGGAGTCCTCTGCTTCGAGAATTACACTAACAAAAAGTGATTATTCTTTTGCTCCATAGCAAAGCAGAGAAACCTTTATAAACTCACTTTCACCAAACCTGTTGTGATAGAGTGCGGGAAGCTATGTCACCTCCCATGGTGATGAAATCGAATCTTGAATCCTTTTCTCCCTCTTGGAGAAGTTAGAGAACTCTGAATCCTTTTTCTCTCTCCCTGATATGGCAGAGAACTAGAATCCCTTCACAGGTAGATAATCTCATATCCTTTTTCTCCCACTTGGAGAAGGTAGAGTACCTTGAGGACTTGACTTAGAAGTCTCTCCCAATAGAGTCTTCAAGAACTCACCAAGACCATAGGAGAAGCGCGGGTGTAGCTAGCTTGGAGCAACCGTGTGATCCCCCCACACTCCCTTAAAATAATACTTAAGTATTGAGTTTCAAGATATCCTAAAAATTCAAGTTGGTCATCACTGTTCATATAGTATGATTAAAATTTGTATAATATGATTAATTTAAAACTAGACCCATACAATACAATGTAAACAATCATTTAGATAAACTATTCAACTTTTCAAACACATCGTATAATATGATCCAAAGATCGTCCTATACGATCTATTTTCTTTCTCTCTATTCATACAGGATGATTCTTAGGATGATTGGAAATCATCTCTATCAGTCATCTCATAATATTATCATCGTACGATACAGTTAGTTGATTTCATATCCATCACATAGTACGATATAAATATCGTATAGTACGATTAGTTCAAAAATCATTATTTCATTTGGTACGATCTTTGAGATGACCAAATTTCATCTCTGCCAATTATATGATGCGATCGAGATCATGCGGTACGATCAAGATCGTGTGGTATGATATACTATCATTAATTAAATAATGATTTGATTAACTAACTATGGTGGTTTATTTAAATAAAATTTCAAATCTTCATACAGTATGAATTAGATCATACATTATCATTAGTTCAAAAATCAAATTTTGAATATCTTAGATAATTTATCTTACAGCTAGAGTTTTTAGATCATAATGAATCGTACCGTATGATCCATATCGTACAGTTTGATTAGTTCATAGAAACTAATTGTTCAATTGGTTATTATGTGCATTCTCTCTATAAATGATCGTACAATACGATTGTAAGTCGTACATTATAATTAGTACAAAAAATTTTAACTTGTAAATTTTTCCCACTCTATGTGTGTGCACGATCATCCAATTGCATACACTCTTGTATGGTCAGACTTAAGAAATAAAAAATAAAGAAAAATAAAAGTATAAACTTTATTTACTTAACATTCCTATTCTATCCAATCTTGAGTTTCTAGTAACCTGAAGTAGTATATATTTTACTTATAATATTAGCGCTCTCAGATAAAAGAAATATCCAAACTATTCATTAAAAAGTAACAATTAAATCAATAATTTTTTTCTTCATCAAAATTACAAATTAGGGTTCCTTGATTGCAACAACAAGACCTTGGGTAGTAGCTCATGGTGCTTCACTGGCATCGAGTTTATTTAGTAGTCTATTGACATGAGTTGTGCGGCGGCACCATCTCATTGTTGATGATGAATTCTGACAAGCAGATAAGGTGAAGAATGACTTTCTCTTGTTCTACTCCATTACTCCATTTGTGTACCTTCGCCTTGTGCGGATAAGGAAGCAACGAGCGAGCTCCCATCGTGTGAAGCACGTACAACACGTGATTGTATTAGCCATGAAGAAATAACGATGAGGAAAAGAGAGGAAGCTAAACAGAAGATTATAAATTAATCAAATAATAAGCAATATAAATAAGTAATCTAATTAAGTTTAATTAAATAATTAGTTGTATAATTATCATTACATTAGTTTAATTAGTGCTAGTAATTCATTAGTTATTATAGTTATTAGTTGTATAATTGTCATTAAATTAGTTTAATATAATTAGTAGTTAAGAATACAATTAGATAATTATTAATATAATTAGTAATTAGTTGTATAATTGTCATTAAATTAAATTAATTTATTTAATATAATTAGAAGTTAAGATTATAATTAGATAATTAATAATATAATTAGAATTTAGTTTAATTAAAGTTAATTATCATATTAATTATTTAGGTGTTATTTGTCAAATGATTTATTATATTATTAATTATCTAATTATCAAGCAGTCATGCAAATTAAAAGAACATATTAATTTTAACTTCTAAATGAATCAACTGTCTTAAATCCTGAATTAAGTTGTCAAACAGTTTCTAAGGATAATCGAAATTTAACATTTATCATACTAAATATTTTTCAGGATTTAACATCCTCATGATTTACTAAATCTAAATTTATAGGATTTACTAAATCCCATTAAAATTAAATTCAATCCAATACCAAACAACCCTTAAAAAATAATTTTAATGTATATATATTAATATTTTTCCCATTTATTTCTATTAACTCATTAGAATAAAAAAAAAAAAAATCTCAGAACTTGTGAAACTACTCAGGCGGTTCATTATTAAAGTTGAAATCTTGAAGATAAATGAGGATAGCTATTGTCTCTTAGTTTCAAGGAAATGTTATATCAATCATTAATAAATTTGGGGAGATCACATACATAAATATATAAATTTAATTGATAAAAAGGCATAAATATTATTTTGTAAATAATTACAAATCAAATATTACATATTCGTGCCATTAGCTCTTGTCTTTTAGCTTTACGTGCACTCATGGAATATCCCCCGCTTCCAAAGACAAAATTCACCGTTCTCCACTAAGCTTATACAACTCGTTCTGATCATTTTCATGATGTCAGCTCTTTCTCCCGCCGTTAATAGACTCTCTAGAGTGTGAAGAGGGCCAAAACCGAAGAGATAAGTCATGGAGAGCTATCCCCTCCTCGGAAATCCGGTGGCCATGGCCGGCGTACTGGACTACAAAGGCCGTCCGATCACCAAAACAAGCTCCGGCCGGTGGGTTGCTGCATCTTTCATCCTAGGTAAAGTCAAACCACTTAAGCTCTTCAACCAAGTCAGCTTCTCTTCCCACCAAATTACTAACCAGTAATCTGAATCAAACAGCGATAGAAATGGCAGAAAGAGTGGCTTACAACGGCATCGTGTTCAATCTCATAAGCTACATGACAGGCCCTCTGGGCGAATCCACTGTCGCTGCCGCCTCTGCTGTCTCCGTCTGGAGCGGCGTCACACTTTTACTTCCCATCCTCGGAGCTCTTGTCGCCGACTCCTTCCTCTCCCGCTACCGCACCATCGTCATTTCCTCTTTCCTCTACGTCTTGGTTAGCTCTCCCCTTCCATTTTTCCACCTTTCTTCCCATCAATCCATGATAAAAATCCCATTTTTTTTCCTCTGCCGCAGGGTCTTGGCTTGCTTTCGCTGTCTGCCGTGCTGCCAAATCTCACTACTTTCAAGTCGGTCTTGTTCTACTTTTCTTTATATCTTGTGGCGATTGCAGAGGGCGGCCATAGGCCATGTGTTCAAGCTTTTGGAGCGGACCAGTTCGATGAGACGGACGAATCGGAGTGTAAATGGAGGAGTTCTTTCTTCAATTGGTGGATATTTGGATTAGCTGTTGCCTTGACTGCATCTCCCATCGTTCTGAGCTATATACAGGATAATGTTAATTGGGCTCTTGGCTTCGGAATTCCTTGTATTCTGTTGGGTTCTGCTCTTATAGTTTTCTTGACGGGTTCAAGATTCTATCGCTGTTACACGTTGAAAGAGACGAGCCCTTATGGTCAAGTTAGTCGTGCTTTTGTCAATTTAGTCAAGAGAAAATTATTTTCTGATGCTAAATCTGAAGCTGAAGCACTCGTCAATAACTACCCAGTTTCACCCACTCAGCCAAAGTAAGTAGGATTTAACTAAAGCAGGATTCAGTAAATCCTCTTAGTTCAGATTTACTTTATTTCCTAATTCCTGATTACATTTTTTTTTTCATTCGAAGCAGGTGGGAGGGATTGAATTTTTTAAAATCTAATGATTTTGAAGAAATAAAAAACTAAAATTATTCTAATCTTCTTCTGTTTGATGCAGAATCCAATCTCTTTTGTAATTTTTTATTTCAATAATATTACTCTTCTGCTGCTAATTAAAAAAAGGAACTGATAAACCTTGCACTTCATTTCAGAGTCTAAGATTTTTCATTTAATTTCTTAAACTTGCTTCTATTTGATCACTTCCGATCAGACTTCAACGAGGTGGAGAAGATCTAATGACTGAACAAATGGAATCAGAAACTAAGAGCCTGCTTCATTTATTTCCGATTTGGGCAACATGTTTATTCTATTCAATCATCAACTGTCAGTGGGAAACCTTCTTCACCAAACAAGGAGCCACACTAGACAGAAATATTATTTCGAACTTCCAAATTCCAGCAGCAGGGCTACAGAGCCTCTCCAATCTCTCTGTAACAATCCTCATTGTATTCTATGATCGCCTCGCTGTTCCCCTAACTCGAAACATTACAGGAATTCCTTCAGGCATCTCAATGCTTCAACGCATTGGCATTGGATTGCTTCTTTCTGTTTTTGTAATGGTTATCTCAGCGTTAGTAGAGATGAAAAGGCTTGAAACTGCTATTGAATTTGACTTGGTGGATAAGCCAAACTCAGTGCTTCCTATGAGCATATTATGGTTATTTCCTCAATATATTTTGATGGGTCTTTCATCTGTTTTTGCCACAGTTGGCTTGCAAGAGTTCTTCTATGACCAGGTGCCTGATTCGTTGAGGAGCTTTGGGATAGCTATTTGTCTCAGCATATTTGGTATTGGGAGTCTCATCAATAGTTTTCTGATTTATGTGACAGATAAAGTGACAACAAGGATTGGTGGGGAGAGCTGGTTTTCTAATAATTTGAACAGGGCTCATTTGGATTATTTCTACTGGCTTATTGCTTGCATGGAGTTTTGTTCGTTTGTTGCTTTTGTTCGCTATGGGAGATGTTATGTGTATAAGACAAGGAGAGAGATTGGTGTTTGATTTTGAGGTTTTGAAGATGACTTATAATAATGAAGAATAAGGCAATATTTGCACTGTACAGATACTTGAAATAATTGATTCCGTCTATTTTCAAAAATTTTGAAGCTGTTTTTTTAATCTCATTCAATATTGCAATGCTACAACATCCTATGTATTTTTACGTATCGAAATATTAGAGATGGTAGAGAGATAGAGTATTTATCATCTTAGCTTTATATAAAAGGTCCATGACATATACGAATGAGAGAGGAGATGCGAGAGTCATAAAAGACATCATATTTTTTAAGTGGAAAACTCGGGAAAAAGAAAAATCATGGGGTCCAACCCATTTAAAATGATTCACCAGTGTTTGTTACGAACGATTCCTTTCATTGGGGGAAGGCATTCACAAAATATAACAACTCATTGTATGGAGCATATTACATGGTTATAGTTGGAAGAACCCAATGGGATGAGAGTTATTTTTAAGAGATTTTTTATTTTTTTGTCTGGTTGGAAGGACCGTAGTCACACGATGGTGGTCGGAGGATTGTAGTCAGGCATTAGAGGTTGGAGGGATTGTAGTTGAGCGACGGTTGTCGGAGGAACTGTAGTCAGGTGATGGTAGTCGATGAGATTGTAGTTGGTCGGCGAAGGACGCTAAAAGGACTATATGTGATGCCCTAGGATCTAATATATGTATTGAAAATATAAACCATATAATTATAATTCAACCACCAACAAAGACAATCAGAGTTATTATAAAGTTCAAATAATAAAATAACTTAATATTTTTCATTTCATAGAAAAAGAATATGTACATTAATCCAACTTACTTCTAATAAGTATATCAAAAGAACTAAAAAATTGGATTATAAAACATTACCTCTATAACTCAGAATATGAGGAACCTGCCTTTACATGATGGTGGAAGGTTTGCATAGGATGTGAACTTGTGATCTAGAGTTGGTAGAGTTTGGTGGAGTTTAAGAGGATGTTAAAGTGTACAAATAAAACTAGGTCTGAGGGTTCCCTATGTGAGTTGATTTCTATATGCAAGTGCTTAGAAGGGTTTTATGATTTTGGTTACTAGTTTATTAGTCTTAGAGGGTGCTTATGGAGTAGAGGAAGAGTTTTGAATAGTTTAGAGTAGGTATTCAAGAAGCCCTTACAGTAACATATAAGAAATAAGGATGACTACCTAATATCGCAAAGAAGTGATAAACACTTAAATCCATCAAGCACCAAGTAAATGAATAGAATTTCTCCATAGAATTATTTCATTCTAAAAATAGAAAATTATAATGTATATCAAGCCATATTTATAGGCATTGAAAGATAACTAATGAAAAAAAATAGAGAAAAAAGAAATGGAGGGAGTTGGTGGACATTAAAGAGGAGTTCCAACTACTCATTTTTTTATTTTCTATTCCCTACTTAACTATTTGATGGTTGACCATATAAGATTCTAAATGGTAAATAAAATATAAATTATATTTAAAATATTTAAAACTATGGGTCCATTATTGGGCCTTTGACTTTGCTCTTATAATTAGGCCTTTTCATTGGTCCTTTTCTTGGACTTTGGTCTTAGCTCTTGTAATTGAGCTTTTAATTTAATTATCATCCATATGATATATTATATCACCCACTCTTTGGTTTTTACATGTCTTCCTAGAAGGGGTTAGCTACCCGGTAGAATGAAGCTGATTAGGATTTTTAGGTCTAGTTTTTTCTTTTTGTTTTTTTTATTTTTATTCTTTTGTAACTTAGAGATTTAAATGATAGATTTATACTATAGATTAAAATCTTGGTTATTGTATTTAAATTTTAGAAAATGAATATGGAATTGTAAATTGATGTAAATGACTTTTAGTTTTTTTTTTATGGATTTTATTAAATAAATGAATTTAGTGACATTGGTAGATTAAATTGAAGATAAAAAGATATAATTATTCCTATTTTAGATCTTGAGGCGTCACTATTTAACTCCAATCTTCTCTTAAAAAGATGTTGATAGTTCATAAGCGAAGTATTTCACCTTATTTTGAAGCTCTGGTTTATTCCCATAAGAAGATAATTGTTCTTAAAATTTAAAGAATGAAATATGATGCCATAGCTAATCATTGGTGAACTGATGTAGAATTGTTTAACAAATATTTTTTTCCCAAAAAATATCAAAAATTTATTCAATATGCTAATTTTCTCATTATGGAGCAATTGTCTTGTTGGTTTCCACACTTACTAGGATTTATACTCCAATATGAATGTGTGTATATTTTAGGTACAATCAAAGATGAAATTTTTTAGTTTGATATTGATGTTGGGTGCCAATATTTTTTATATCAAACATCAACGTTGGATTTGATACTATAAAAATCATTCGAGACAAATCACTGATAAGGTAGAAGTTAACTTTTAAAAAACTGCAATAAACTTCAGGAGAGAAGAGATCGTTCATTAGAGGTTAATTCAAAAGTTTGAATACTATATAAGACTTCATAAAATCTCGTATGTTAATAATGAGTCTATTGATATCATATTTATTTCTTATTCTGTATATGAAGATTGAACTAAGGCTTTTTATTTGTATAACCTATAAATGTATGTTTCTTTATGTGATATGCAAGCTTGATTAATTCTTATAATTAAATGGTTGAATGTAATGATGATAACATATGAAATCTCAATATTTTATGTCATAGTGATCAATGTTCTAAGAACTTGTCCCCGTAGAGGACTAAGTATTTTTTAATCCATTCATCTCCTTTTTTTCATGTATAAGTATGATTTATATTTTGACATAATATTGAAAGGCTTTATCGATACTTCAATTTTAAACAAGGCCCTTAACCATGTTAAGAAGGGTCGTGATGAATTATTTTAACATTAGGGTCTTCCTTAGATTGTTGGAATGGGATACTACCTTAAATCATAATGTTTGATATGAAATAGTTATAGAAATCCACTAAGAATTTCTTTCCTTCATGAGATTATTTGTTAGATTAATTTCATGACTTTTGATTGGCTTCCCACAAATTAGAACTCTAGGAGATTTACTCAAAATTGAGATGTGGAGAGTAGATTCATCTTGATTGAAATATCATGAGGGATCATTGGGCAAACATATTTTTGTAAACACATGCAATCGTAAAGATCATTTGTTTCAAATCATTGAATCCAACTTCTAATTAATTTATATTAGAGATTAAGGACCAAGCTCAACTTTAATAATTGAAAGAATTAATTACATCAGAAAGTATAGAAGAATTACAACTCAACACAATATAGAGTTGCATACAAAATATGTAATGCTTAGCTAGGGTCAGAAAGAAAAAAAAAAAGGACACCCAAAAAGGTTAGAATGAGCAAATGGTCATCCAAAAATTAGATAACCTTTCATTATAAGACACTCAGGATCTCCTTGGTTTCCATTTGACCATCCAAGGGAATGATGATACAATTGTGTGGCAAATTCCTTACAATGTTATTCAAGGACCCCTAGTTGATATTTGTCCATTCGAGTGGATGAAGATGTAATTGGGTGTAAAATTCATTCATTACTTTTTTTTGGAAGAGCATGAATTGTTAGAAGGTAAAACATTTTGCTATCTAGTCTCACAAAACTACTAATAGAGCAACTAAGCTAGATCAACAAAAATTTTCAATACCAGACATTATGTCACAACTCAATTTGAAAAGATCCATTGATGGGACAAGTCATTTCATATTGATCTGCACTAAGCGGATCTCAAGATCTAATTTTTAAATTTTATTCAGATATACTTCCCACTTATATTTTAAAACAAACAACAAACTACATAGCTACTAAAAATATTCAAAGTACTGAAATTAACTCATCCATAAAATCTCTTTAATTTCATCTTTAAAATTTATATATAACAGTGACACTACACTACATGGCTATGGACATTAGAATACTAAGAAGAACATAACAAAAGTTAGGTATAACTATACAAAAATCAAAACAAAAAAATATTTATACATACTCAGATCAAGATCTCTGAAAGGGAATGATTTGGTTAAGTAGCTATTTAGAATCTGAAAACAGAATTTACAAAAATAAAAACAAAATAATATTTTCAAATATTTCTTTTATTAAACCTTCACTGAGTATTAAAAGCAGAATTCAGTAGAGAAATAAATGCAATTATAAGAACTTTAGGTAAAATATATAAGCACTTCAAATATTCCTCCCAATAGACAGAGTTCGATAACTCTGACCGTTATACCTCCTAATAGATATAGTTCAATAACTCTGAGCAATAGACAGAGTTCAATAACTCTGAGTAATAAACATAGTAAAATAATTCTTTGTAAGGGACAAAATTCAACAACTTTGAAATAGAATGTGTTTATATAAACATAAAAAAACTTCCTCAACCCCTCTTAAATCTTCACTTAATCACCCATTTCAATCAATTAGGCATATATTTCAATGCATTACAATGATTAATTTATAAATAAACACATTCCAGAATTTTACAAATTACCCTAAAGATAGACAACAAAAAACTAAGAAAAAAATATACATTTTCATAAAATAATCAAATTATCAGAGTTCGTGTAGATCATTATTTTAAGACTTTAATTATATAATAATATTATTTTTAGAGTATGGATTATTTTCTTTTTAATAAAAATGTATATATTTCAAAACCCTTAGTAGAAAATTTTCAAAATATTAAAAATATCACTTTCTAGAACATACAAAAAGTTATATGATAAAAGTTTTACCTGTGCAAATTTTTCCTCATTTTTCAATAGTAGAATAATAAATTTAGTGAAAAAAATTTAGAAAATTTTCATATTTTTAAAAATTGAGATAGGCATAGTGTCACCTACCTCGATCCAGACAACTTTTCAAATTGGACCAATAGCTGAAAAGCATGAAGCTACCCAAAATGAACTCTCTCTCTTCTCTTTTTTCTCTTTTTCCCTTTTTTGTTTTTCCTCTCTATTATTCAAAGGATATATTAGCCATTATGCCAATTATTCAACATTTAGCATAAAATCCTTTAGTATCTTCAAATTTGTGGATCTAAAAGTTATAAAAATATATTAATAAATCAGCTAAGC